ACCTTCTAAAGATTAAATCTCTGTGCTCATCGAAAACTTTCCAACAAGGTGAAAATAAAGCCTTCTACCTTGGAACAAACATTTGGCAATACTATTTTGGACAAAGATCTTGTATCAAAAGTTTACTGAATACTCCTGCCCTCCAGAAGAAAAAGACTGAACATCCAATTACAAAATGGGCAAAAGACATAGCAAGACTTTTCACAGAGGAAGACATTAAGGTGGCTAACAGACACATCTCAAAATCACTAGCAATAAGAGAGATGCAAATCAAAACCACCATGAAATACCATCTCATCCTAGTAGCAGTGCCAATGTTTAATAGGGCAGCAAGCAATAAATGTTGGAAAGGATAAGGAGAGTTGGGAACTCTCATACACTGATTATAAGATAGCACAACAATTCTGGAAGATAGTTTGGCATTTCCTAAAAAAGTTGGACATAGAAATTCCAAATGACGTAGCAATTCCACTACTAGGAATATACCCCAAGGAAATTAGAACTGAGGCACAAATGGAATTTGTACACCAATGTTCATAGCAGTGTTATTCACCATCACAAAAACATGAAAACATCCCAGATGTACAACCACAACCAAATGGATTGAGAAACTGTGGTGCATTCACAAAATTAAATACTACATAGAACTCAAGAGCAGTGATTTTGAAAAATACTATGTAACTTGGGAGAGACTGGAGAGCATTATGCTGAGTGAACTAATGCAGTCTCAGAAGGACAAATACTGCATAAGACCACGATTGTAAAAATAGAAGGCTAAGTGGCAAAACATGTGCTGAAACTCCAGGGAAAGAAAGGGAGGAGTGGAGGGGTGAAGATGGGTAGGGGTGAATTCACAGGGCTGCACAGTTTGGTGGGTGGAGGGAGACAGAGAAGCAAATTAGAAGGATCCATGCCTAAAGACAAGGTAATGATGTGCAAGGTCCAATGGTGATTGATTTTATAAAACTTAAAGCCTATGAGATATCATCTCTCACCCCAGTCAGAAAAGAGCAAGGAAACACTGCATGGTTCAAAATTGAGATGGGCGTACGCCAGGGATGTGTCCTGTCTCCATACCTTTTCAAAGTGTTTGCAGAACAGATTATCCGGGAGGCTGGGCTCTATTAGGAGGAATGTGGGGTCAAGATGGGTGGAAGATCTATCAACAATCTGCGATGTACAGATGATGCAACCCTGCTTGCTGAAACTGAGGAGGACCTGAAGTGCTTGCTGCAGAGAGTCAAGGACTGCAGCCTCCAATATGGATTGAGGCTCAATGTCAAAAAGACAAAGATTCTCACCACTGGGCCAATTGGCAGCATCAGGATGGATGGTGAAGAGATTGAGATTGCTCACCGCTTCAGTTTGCTTGGCTCCACAGTCAACACTCTCGGCACCAGTAGCCAGGAAATTAGAAGATGTATTGCTATAGGAAAGTCTGCTGTTAGGGACTTCTCCAAAGTACTGAAGAGCATTGGTGTCTCTTTGGAGACTAAGGTGCATCTGATACAGGCCATGGTTTTTGCTATAACTTCTTAATCATCAGAGGCTTGAACAATGACTAAGGAGGATAGAAGGAGCATCGATGCCTTTGAGCTGTGGTGCTGGAGAAGAGTATTGAGGGTTCCATGGACTGCTAGGAAAACAAACAGATCCATCCTGGAAAGGGTCAAACTGGGCTGCTCTTTGGAGGCAAAGATTCTAAGGTTCTGCCTAACATACTTTGGACATGTTGCAAGGAGGGACAGGTCCTTGGAGAGAGACATCATGTTCGGTAGGGTGGAGGGACAGCGCAGAAGGGGAAGGCTCCCTATGAGGTGGATTGATTCAGTGACTGGGGTAATGGGGATGGGTGTATCTGAGACAGTGCGATTGACACAGGACAGAGCAGAGTTTAGGGCTGTTGTACATAGGGTTGCTATGAGTTGCAAGCGACTCGATGACACATAAAACAACAACAACAATGCCTATGAGATATCATCTCACCCCAGTCAGAATAGCAAAATTTAACAGAACAGCAAGCAACAAATGCTGGCAAGGTTATGGAGAAACTGGAACCCTTAGTCACTGTTGGTGGAAGTGTAAAATGGTGCAAACCCTGTGGAAGGTGGTATGGCGCTTTCTCAAAAACTTGCAAATAGAAATATCATTTTACTCAGCAATTCCACTACTGGGAATATACCCTAAAGAGACCATAACAGACATCCAAGCAGATATATGCACACCCATGTTTATCGCAGCTTTGTTCGCAATATCTAGGAGTTGAAAACAAAGTAAGTGCTCATCAACAAACAAATGGATAGAGAAACTGTGGTATGTTCACACGATGGAATACTATACTGCATTGAAAAATAAAGAACTCATGCAATATTATTCAAAATGGGTGACCCTGGAAGACATTATGCTGAGTGAAGTATCTCTGTCACAAAAGGACAAATGCTGCATGGTGCCACTGTTGTAAAACAGGACTGGCCTCAGGGTTGGGGGGAGACTGAGAAAGATGTGTTCAATAATGTATACTGCATTGAAACAGATGAGGGAGAAAACTGTTTGAGAGGGATATGTGGTTAGGTATTTTTGTCATGAGAGGAGTCCAGAGCGAAGGCTACATGGTGGAGTGGACCTGGGGTGAGGGATTGTAAAACAATGAAATAATTTTTCTTTTACTTTTCCAAGAGGGTAGTGTGGCAGGGGAGCAAAGTGTAACAATGAATGAATGGAAATCTAAAGTCTCTGTAAATTTTTATTGAAATTAATAATAAATTTAAAAACTCCAAAACATAATGCATGAGAATGATTATATGAAATACCATATGAATGAAGAATAGTGTAAAACACAATGTATATAAACTTTGTAAACAAACCAATTAAGAAAAAAAGTAAAATAAAATGTATACGAATGATTATACGAAACACAATGTAAGCAAAATAATGTATAAATCACAATGTATATGAATGAAACATAATGTAAATAAATAATTATATGAAAACCAATAAAAATATTAAAACATAAAACCCACCCAATATTCTTCCCACCCCTTGGGACTGAATCAGATAACTAGTTATATTTTGGATTAATTGCATCACTGTTTCTCCAGATATTTTTTTGGTTTGTGGACTTTGTTGTTTACATCTTGTCACATCTCTGACTTCACAGGTGAAGGAAAGATAGGTTAGCAACATGTCATCTGTGAGGACATTTTCAGTGCTTCATTCTTGGATTAATTTACAAGGCCTCATCTAATCTGAGAAAACATCTCTTTCACCAAACTGTTAACTCTTCATCATTTCTATTTTTAGCATAATAATAATAGAAAAAAATCCATTTTTTAACTTTAAAATTTGTGAACTCTGTGATAGTTCTAGGGAGCTCTATGGAATAGCACTGTCTGCAAAAAGATATGAGGTTGGAATCCACCAGCTATTCTGCTCTCCTCCCAATGCCTGTGAAAAACCCTCTGCAGTGGTGTGTGTGTGTGTGTGTGTGTGTGTGTGTGTGTGAGAGAGAGAGAGAGAGAAATATACATTGGTTCTGACTGGATGGTACTCAATACCTATAACATGTGTGGCCTAATGGGTAGGGTGTTGCACTGCCAACCCAAAGGCATGTTGCTTAAAGGGAGAAAGATGAGCAATCTCTTCCCTTTGAATTGTGATACTTGTTGTTATTTTTGTTATTTAGTTATTAGTTGTTGAATTGTCTCTGACTCATCACAACCTAATTAATAGTGGTTTTGGGTGCTACAAAGCTGATTTTGACTCAGTTGCTGGCTGTGACAGTAGAGCAGCTCCAGAGGGTGTACTTGAACAGGGACATAAAAGGTACGCTGGAGAAACTCACTTGGCTGTATACTTTAAAGAAGCAAATTGTCAGGTCTTTTTACCAAAAAGCTGCTTGGTGCATTCTAACCATATAACAGAGAGAAGTGTACCTGTCCTGTGCTGTCTTTGCGATCATTTGTATGTTTGAGTCTCTTGTGTCCTTTTTGTCAATTTATCTTATTGTTTCTCTCCTTTTTTGCAACATTTGTTTTGGTTAGATGCCAGTGAGTTGAGTACAACCCATTGTGACCTTAAGATCAACCAGATCTGAACCCTGTCCTATCCTGTGCCATCCTCATACAACACACAAGAGCTCATTGTGGCAGTCACCGTGTCAATCTACCTGGTTGAGAGTTTTCTTTTTTCCTGACCCTCCACCCTTCCTAATAAGCCCTCTTAGCAACATACCCAAACTATGTGAGGCGAAGCCTTATCATTCTTGCTTCCAAAGAGTGCTCCAACTGCACCCTCTCCAAGAATATTTTTTCTTTTGGCAGTTCATGGGATGTTCTGTGCTCTTATCCGACACCACAGCTCAACTTCATCAATTCTTCTGTCATCTTTATTCATTGTCCAGCTCTCAGATGCATAGCAAGTGACCAGAAATATCATGGCCTGAATCAGATCCACCTCATCTTCAAATTGATTTACAACATTAATTAACATTAAAATGGCTCAGTTTGAATGCCATCTATCACCGACTACCTATGTAGCTCAAAAGAAAAAGTTGTGGAACCTTTGATCTACCAAAGATTCTAGAATTTCTTTCTAATTTTTTTTTTACCTTCTTCTTTTATCTTTAAGCATAGGTTAATGAAATGTTCTGAGGAAAAACCTTAAATAGTTTAGGTCCTAGATTCATGGGAACAGGGAGAAAGAAAACAAAAACAATTTATAAAAGTCATTGAAAATAAGGAAGAAATGATGAGGTCAACCCTTATTTCTTTTCTTCTGTTTTATCCTCTAGCTGCACATTCATCAGTAGCGTCCTCTCTCTTCAAGCTCTAGCAGTCTTTTGCTGAGATATAGCCCAGGATAGGGGAATGATAATATAATCCATAAAACAAAGCAAAAAATATTTCTTTTCAATTTAAACAGACTAAGGGAATCTGTTTAATAGAAAGAGACGTGACAATCATTTACCTATTCATTTAAACAAAGACTATTATTATACTTACAAGGAACCTTTACAGGCAGTCTGAAGACGACAGGAGTTATGATAAAAGACATACAAACATTCAAAACATAACTAGAAAACATAGGAATTTCTGCTAAAATCTGCAGAAATTCAGAGACAAAAATATTCTAATATCAAAAGAGAGGCTGTTTTGAAAAGGGCTACCTTATTATGTATTGAACCTTGAAAAATGGTAGATATTTATGGAGGAAATGATGTATGAGGAAAAAGAATGGCCGACTTCTGGCACAGTATGACCCTGTAATCTAATCTGAGATTCAAAATCTTATCCTGTAAAATGAGAATTTGATGACCTGGAAATTTTCTCGGTCCATCCTTGTTCTGACATGCAATTGTTTTGTTGTTGTAATGTGCCATTGAGTTGTTTGTGACTCATAGTGATTGGCCTGCAACTCAGACTTAAACTTTGATTAGTTTTTGAGTCTTGACCAGTGTATTTCCTATTCATTTTTACTTCTAAGCCATTCCTTTTTGCTTTTCATAATTTCCTCCATCCCCCCCTTTATGTTTATAATGAAACTAGCACAATTTATATGAGGGTGTTTTTCAGCCATAGCCGTGACTATGATACAGCTAACCACTTAACTGGTTGTTATTCTTTTATGCTGTTGTATTGACTATGACTAGTAGTGACACTATGAAACTTGATCTCTCTTGAGCCAATCTCACCACAACTCAAAGGCATTGATTTTTTTTCTCTCATCCTTAATCATTATCTAGTTGTCAGATGCATAATAAGCAATTGAGAAGACCATGGCTTCGATTAGGTACACTTTAGTCTCTAGATTCACATTTTGCTCTTCAGCATTCTTAAAAGGTTCTTGAAAGCAGACTTTCTTAAAAGCAACCTGTCCCTTGATTTCTTGATTGCTGTGCCAAGAGTATTGATTGTGAATCTGAGCAAGATGAAATTATTGATAACCTCAAGCTTTTCTTCATCTATCATGCTACTGCTAGTTGTCCTGGTGTTAAGAAGCTTTGTTTTCTTGATGTTGAGATGCAGTCCATATTAAGACTGCAGTCCTTAACTTTCTGCAACAAATGCTTTAAGTCCTCTTCAGATTCTGATCAAGGTTGTGTCATCTCCATATCACAGCTGAGTTCAATATATCACAGTCGGCCCAGTGGCGAGCAGCTTCACTGCTAACACAAAGGCTGGAAAATCAAATCCACTGGCTGCTCTGTGGGGAAAAAAGCGAGCAACCAACTCCAGTGTAATTTACAGCCTCAGAAAACTTTTTGGAGGGTCAGTTATGAGTCTTGACTCAATTCCATATAATACTTCAATGGTTAGTAACTTACAATATTCATTCTCAAGCTCATGGATCTCTGGGAGTATTGGACACAGCTTGGATTTTGCTGCTTCTGTTTCAACTGCTCATCTTAGTGTGCTCTAATTTAACTTTATCAAACAATGTTCTCCATCCTTTCCTTTGCAGGTATGTATGTAGGTATGATACTAAGCTAAACCATCTACCCAACACATTGCTTAAGAGAAAAAATACAGAGTGAAATATCCTTCAGATAAATCAACATAGAAATTTTCCAGAATCTTGTTTAATGCTGCAATCAATGCCCTAGAAATAGCTAAAATCTAACCAGAAGGATCTGCCTTCTGGACTGTTTTCCACACAGTTTATACACATGACATAATTCTCATTCTTGTGTAATAAAAGTAATGATTGCAGTAATATCTCACTATATAAATCTAATGTTTAAAAAGTTGAAATAGTTCTAAAATGGCAAGGTCACCACCTTCATAATTTTTCTGCAGAAAATATTTGCTAAGTAAATTATTAATGAAGAAAAAACCCAGAAGGAACTATTTGCTTTTCTTAGGAAATAATTTTAAGCACTCTTAAAATTCTATAGCAGCATTTATATTGCATATGCATGATGAATTAATTAGAGGTAATTTTTATTTGTTTGGTAACGTAAGTTCAAAAACAACTGCCCTTTAAAATATGTGAAAATCAGTCACTGTATCCCCACCCCAAAATAGGAAAATGCATATATGTAGCTCTCAAAAAGAACTTTATAAATCAAACTTTAATGAATTTAGAGCCCTGGTGAATAGGGAGTTGAACTACCAACTCAAGGTAGATAGTTTGACTTTACCAGCTACTCCATGGGCAAAGAAGGGCAATCTTCTTTGCGATTTATAAGCCTCTGAAAACCTATTAGAGGATCAGGTATGAGTTGGGTACAATTTGATGATGATAAGTTTTGCACTTTTAAAATTAATTTGCCTGAGTTTCTCAGAAAATTATTTTTCATTAGAGTTTTCACTGTCTTAAATAATATTTTCCTACTTCTAATGACTTTTAACAAAACATTTTAGGAGAGATAACAAATGGAGAGTTATCTTAGACAATTTAATCCCAATAAGTCAGTCCAAATATGCTTTATTGCATGTTGTGGGATCCATATGCATCACACTGCTTGTAAAGAAAGATCACGATAAGCACAAATTAATACAAATACTCACTGAGTGTTTCTCTCCTTTTACAACATTTACCAACAGTAAACTAGCACAGTTTGAGTTGTATCCAATACTATTTGACTACCTGTAAGGAGAGGGACATCATGTTTGGGAAAGTGGAGGGATGGTGCAGAAGAGGAAGACCCTCAATGAGATGGATCGATTCTGTGAGTGGAGCAGTGGGAATGAGTGTGGCGAGTTTGGCACAGGATAGAACGGTGTTTAGGGCTCTTGTACTTAGGGTCGCTATGAGTTGCAAATGGCTCGATGACACATAACAACAACAAACAACAACATGTGCAGAGTAACTTCTCTTGCAAGTCTTCTCAATCATCCAGGGATATAAGACTACCCAAACTATTAAAATGTAATAAAAAAATTCTGTGACTAAGTAGTTACTGTTGTAGCTATTCCAAAGTTTATACTTCTATTCATTATGTAGAAAATACATTTGCCATAATAATTCAGTATTATCACTGTGAAGCTAATGGGCATGAGTGTTAAATGTGTTGTGCTCTTTCAGTGCGATTATCTTCAAATAATACTTGACTTTGATCACTATTTTCTAATTCAGAATTCTGGCAGCAATAGACTTATTACTTTAAAATGTTAAGCTCTTGTGAACTGTACAAAGCAGCAGTTTTATTTACTTTTATATATTTATTTTATAATACTGCTTATGATTCTGTGTTTCTCAAAACTGCAAAAACCACTTAAAATCGTAGTTTCTCCCTTTCTTCCTAGCCCTCTTTTTGTGTCTTCTAATCAAATATTTCCCTCTTTCCTTTCTCAATAACCTTCATCCCAATCAAAATCTTAAAGTCTTCAAATTGCCCCTTATGTTTGTTTATTTGTTTCAGTTCTGAACTGCACTGAGTTGAAGACTTCAACTTACCTCAGCCTTTAATCAAGCTGATTAAGTCACACATTAAGCCATCCAAATTCACAGCTTGCTCATGAGCTTGCTGAGGATGGAATGGGGGAGGAAACTGGAACACTCTGGGTACTGCATAATCCTCCTCATCCCTCTGTCACCTCTTTTTTTTTCTTTAAAAAAATTATCCTTAAATTCTTTATTTCAGCAAAAATCACTTGTATTTGTGACTACGGCTTGACTCGTGGTAGCAAGAGAGTCTTTCATTAGACATTCTTTTGTTGTTAAGAAAAGACCAGACATTTAAAAATGGACCAGGAGAGGAGAAAAGGACTTCACAGGAGAGTGTGAGGATCTGCCAATTCTCATTAATTTCAGTACCCAGATCCAATTCAATTTAAAAACAGCCTCCCCAAAACGGTTTTCAGAAAAATACTCCATCGTGATATCTACAAGATAAAAAAGTGCCACCTTTTCTAGAAGAGATCTCATTGATGTGAAAGGCCCCACACATAATACCATGACAGAGCTGGGATTGCTGCAGCCTGATGGTGCTAAGATACTGTGAACACAGCAAAGTCTAGGGGTACGCTCCCGTTCACAGACATGTGTTTCACAAAGAGGCAAATAGGGTGTAGACGGTTCTCACGTACACATCCTCAAGGGGCAGCTTCTTCTAGTTGCTCGATTCAAGAAATTTCTTAATCGTAGGGATATTACTTATTTTCACAGAGGACCCCTGGAGGTGGGAAAATGAAGCGAGGGTATTAGGCACTATCTCTTCGAGGGCTCAAATGGCCTGAAGTAGAATCACATCCGCAAGGCTCAGCTGGTTGCCAACGAGAAAGATTTATCCATAATCTCTTAAAATCTTTACAAACACAAGAAAGTATCTGAGTACAGCCTTCTAGGTAATACTAACAACATACTTTTATTTATCGTCTGGTTTTAAGAAAGGATGCATTATAATAATTTCCAGAATATCCAGTGTTCCCTCCACATACATGTCAATCAGCGTTTTCTCCTTGAGATCGCTGCCAAAGAGGTGGAATTTCTCTGCTGTGGAGTGGAGAATGCTTCGGATCTGCACCAACTTCATTCCGTCTATTTTAACCATCAGCACTTGTCACTTGTTGGAGCCGCAGGTGGTTCCCATTCTGCAAGTTCTGCAACTTGTTTCTAAAACTTCTTTGTCAAACTCAACACCAGCAGCCGCTAATACCCACCTGAATGATTGCACTTTGCCTCTTCCATTCAGAGAGTGGAGCTTGGGTCTTGTTTGCATACTGGTCTTGAATTTTTCGGATTCTCCCTGAGTGTCCGGAGTCACACAAAGCGCGGAGCTGGTTGGAGTCCCTCTAAGTGCAGCCTCCCCTCTGTCACATCTCTTATCAAGAAAATATTCCTAACTTCCCAGTTAAATGACCAGCTCTTTTTAAAATTGCTTTTAAAATATTTTTCAACCTATGCATAATTTTCTCCTCCAGAGTTTTACGTTCTATCATTTTATTGGAAAGAATCAGATTATTCTCCCGCAATACAAATTTAAAATGATATTTTCTTTTCAATAGCACACAGGGATACCTGAGTGAGAAGTCAGGGACCTTGGATTTGTTTCTGTAGTCTTCCACATCACTGTCTTTGAGAATCACTAACTTTTTTTTTTTTTTTACCCTCCCTGGGGTTTCTTTTCTTTTTTAAAAAAATTGATATTTTCATGAAAGTGTACAGAAAACTTACATTTCCATTCATTCATTGTTGCATTTTCCTCCCTCTTCCCCACCCCCCGGTCCACTTTGCTATGCACCTCTTATTCTGTACTGTTGTCATGCAAATTATTCCTAATGATATTTAGAGAGTTCTTTCTCTCATCTATTTAAATGCAGTATTTATTATTTATCCCTTCTTTCCTTAGTTGCCCCCAACCCTCATGTCAATCCTATTTTAAAGTAGTGTCATGTAGTATTTGTCCCTTTGTGTCTGAGATATTTCACTCAGCATAATATCCTTAAAGGTCATGCATTTTGTATAATATTTTATGAGTTCCTTGTTTTTCAGTGTCATGTAGTATTCCATTGTGTGAATACACCACAGCTTCTATATTTATTCATTTATTGATGGTCCCTTGGGTTGCTTCCATCTCTTTGCTAGTGTGAACAATGCAGCAATAAACATGGGTGTGCCTATATCTCTTTGGGTGGCAGTTGTGGTTTTTATAGGGTATATTTCCAGTAGTGCTATTACTGGGTCTAATGGTATTTCTATTTCCAACTTTTTTGAAAAAGGGCCATACTTCCTTCCAGAGTGGTTTCAGCATTTTACACTCCCACCAACAGTGAATAAGGGTTCCAATTTCTTCACAACCTTACCAGCATTTGTTGTTTACTGCTCTGTTGAACTTTGCTATTGTTACTGGAGTGAGATGATATCTCACAGTTGTTTTGGTTTGTATCTCTCTTAAAGATAGGGATTTTGAACACTTCTTCATGTGTTTGTTCACCATCTGAATGTCTTCCCCTTCCTTTTATTATTATTATTATTATTATTAATTTTAATGAAAATTTACAGAGACTTTGGATTTCCGTTTATTCACTGTTGCAT